TGGGTCAAAGACGTTAAGATGTCTGCATCAAAAGAAATTTACAAAAGTGATTTTATGTTCATAGAAAGCACATTAAATGTAAGTAAAGTGTCTACTTTTAAGGTTTCAAATAAGTTTTTGGAGAATAAAATGTCAAAATTTGGTTACATTGTCATTCAGTGTAACACAATATTTATGTAAAAATTCAAACAACATGCTTATTCTGACCTGTACATATTAAAATATATAAAAGAATAAGGGGCATATTAAAAAATTTTATTTTTAAATGAGTAAAAAATTCTTACTGACAAATGGGCAAAACCTAGGATAGTGACAAATTTAAAAAATTTAAAATAACAACTAATTAGTATTTAGGGTGAAAATAATTCGTTTTTTAATATGTCATAAATTGATTTTTGTTGTAAATATGCCTGACAAGATTGTTACACTGAATGACATTTTAGTGGGTGTCTTCTGTAAATCAGGGGAAAATGTATGATATTTATTTTTTGCTCAGAAAAACAAAAACAAAATACAATTACATTGAACAGAAAATTTAAAAAAAAAATTTTGGGGGGAAAATCAATTTAAAGCAGTATTGTTTTTATGCTTAAACCCTTTTTCGTGCTTGACCCATTTCTAAGAACACTAGATTAGATTAATAGATTTTCCCTTCTCTTTATCTTAATCACTCTTATTCGTCTTTGACTCTCTAACTGAACAGTGTAAGATCAGGGTAAGAACCTCCAGTATGTGTGCATTGTCAATATTTTCCCTGATTGAAGTGCGCTCAAACAAGTTTGCACAGTAAAATGTTGTGGTTTATAATTAAATCTCTGCGCACAAGCCTGTTTTAATTTATAAAGTATCAATGGAGTGTCCGTCATTGTCAAAAGTCTTTTGCACTCTCTTTTTTTCCATCAGCGAAGCTGCAAATTTCTGGTGTCATCTACAGTCTGGGTCCAAAATTCTCAGACTATCAGGTCCCAAACCCAAACTACACTCCCATGAAGGACTGCTCAAAGCCCTCCAGCTCGGACAGCCTGATGCAAGCGTTGACTCACAGGTGAGTACAGGCTGAGTGTTACACTCTTCAAATCTGGCACATTGGCACACCCTTTGTGCTACAGACTTTGTTACTTCATGTGGCTTGTTGAGGTGAGAGGTGTGCTAATACATATTCTGACTTTTGTGGTGCTACTAAAATAAAGAAACTTTTTTTTAGACCACTACTCTTCTTAATCTTGAACTAGAAGATCCAGAAGACCCTCCTGGAGCACTTATTCAAACCAAGGTTGGGGTGTGTGTGTGTGTGTGTGTGTGTGTATATATGTATATGTATATGTATATATTAGTGCTGTCAAACGATTAATCGCAATTAATCGCATCCAACATAAAAGATTTTGTTTACATAATATATGTGTGTATACTGTGTATATTTATTATGTATATTTAAATACAAACACATGCATGTATATATTTAAGAAAAATATGTTATGTTTATATATTAAATATATTTATATATAATATAAGAATATAAATATATAAATGTATATACATGTAAATATTTTCAAAATATATACTGTATGTGTGTGCATTTATTTATACATAATTAATATACACATATATATATAACGTAAACAAAAACTTATATTTTGGATGCGATTAATGGTTTGACAGCACTAATTAAGAACTATGTTTTGATATGTTACTGCGTTCCTGTCTGCTCTCTGATTGGCAGCTCTCTGTCTTCCAGACGAGCAGCTATTGTATCTAGACCCACACTACTGTCAGCCAGTGGTGGACGTCACCCAAGGCAACTTCTCTCTGGAGGTGAGATGGAAAGCAACATTACATTTGCATCAGAAGACATTTTCATTTTGAAGTTTTGACCATGTGTGAGGAACTGAAGCTGCATTGGTCTTTT